TTTAAAGTCTGTTTTAGCTGCTGTTTCAGTGGGGACAAACAAAATCAAAATGATTTACATTAATTCAAATCTATTTACAGACCTCTGAATGGGGTTCGGTGAACAAACAATCCAGTTAAAAAAAGGTTTCTACATTTCAGACACACTTTGCTGAAAATTGACAACAGGTGGCAAAGGAGGGAAACATAATGAGAGGGCGGGGCAGGACCACATGACAAAAGATCAGACATAAACTCACAAATTAAAAAAAAGTAAGATGGACAGGTGTCCACCAGCTGTCCCTAGTGGCCAGAACAGACATAGCACCTAACAGCAGCAGCGCACATCTGGAGGAGAATGCAGCTGAGCCCCAACATCTGTTACCTCTGTTCTTCGTCCTGTTCTTCTTCTCTTTAAAAGTTATTTCTCCGTATGTTAGGCCATCTGTTCTCACTCCAGAGTAGATAACAGCCGGATCGCTCTCTGAAGGCAGAACACACATTCAGTTATTCTTTAAACCTCAGCAATAAAAATCAGGTTACAGCTAAAAGCAGCTATTCAAATGAGTAATTAGTAATTAATTAATATTTATTTTATCTGTTTAAAATATATTAAACACCAGTTAATTGTTCAAACTGTTCCTATAGTTAAAACCACATTATCTTTCCATCATTGCAGAGCGAGGCTCAGAGCTGTTTGCTCTTTAACCACAAACCAACAGTCCAGCATGCACAGCTCAGAGTTCAAACCTCTCAAACCACAGAAAGAGGTCAGGACAAAAATTGTCTGAGGTACAAAAGCTGTTTAAAGTCTGTTTTAGCTGCTGTTTCAGTGGGGACAAACAAAATCAGAATGATTTATATTAATTCAAATCTATTTACAGACCTCTGAATGAGGTTCGGTGAACAAACAATCCAGTTAAAAAAAGGTTTTTATACATTTCAGACACACTTTGCTGAAGATGTTTAACTGATTCTGCAGGAGGAGGCTGCAGCTGAGCCCCAACATCTGTTACCTCTGTTCTTCTTCCTGTTCTTCTTCTCTTTAAAGGTTATTTCTCCGTATGTGAGGCCGTCTGTTCTCACTCCGGAGTAGATAACAGCTGGATCGCTCTCTGAAGGCAGAACACACATTTAGTTATTCTTTAAACCTCAGCAACAAGAATCAGGCTACAGGTAAAAGTAGGAATTCAAATTAGTTAAAAGTCATCTTTATTTTATGTATTCTAAATATATTTAACACCAGTTTATTGTTCAAACTGTCAAACTATAGTTAAAACCACATTATCTTTCCATCATTGCAGAGCGAGGCTCAGAGCTGTTTGCTCTTTAACCACAAACCAACAGTCCAGCATGCACAGCTCAGAGTTCACACCTCTCAAACCACAGAAAGAGGTCAGGACAAAAATTGTCTGAGGTACAAAAGCTGTTTAAAGTCTGTTTTAGCTGCTGTTTCAGTGGGGACCTCTGATTCAAACAGAATCAAAATGATTTACATTAATTCAAATCTATTTACAGACCTCTAAATGAGGTTCAGTGAACAAACAATCCAGTTAAAAAAAGGTTTTTATACATTTCAGACACACTTTGCTGAAAATATTAAACTGTTTGCACCTTCTAAAATCTAAAGAAAGTATTCTTAGATGTTACAAAATCTAAAAGCAGAAAACTGCAGAACTTCAGAACAACAAACTGACCTTGAGTTGATCTGATTTTTTGTCTCTGACCACGTGATATTCTGATGTCGCTGTATGTGAGAGTGTCCGGTCCAACTTGTTCTTCATCAGCTGAAATCAAACAAATTACTGACTGATTTACGTAATAATCAAAGATTTTAGAAATTAAATCTGTCGGTGAGCACTTTGATCATCTTTAATCTTTCTTTAATCGTAATTTTTGATGTTTTTTATGAAACTGTAGGCAAACAATTGAATAAATATTTTGCTAAATCATATAATTGTAATCTTTGCCTGGAAGTCTTTGATGTATGTCTCACCTTCAGGTTTCCTTTGGACACGTCGTCTCCACAGCAGAACCAGAACCAGAACCAGAACCAGCAGAAAAACCGCAGAACTCACACAAACGGCCAACAACCAATCAGGAGGACGGGCAGATGTGGTGGTGATGTTGATGGGCGGGGCCATAGAGGTGGGCGGGGCCGTGGTTGGAGGTTTCTCTGCAGAGAGAACCCACCTGGTCAGGTGACTGTGGGAGAAATTGGAGCTGAACTGAGATCTCACCTGTGACCCGGACCCGGCTGGAGGGGGACGTGTCCCCCCCGATGGAGCAGCTGTAGAGGCCTTCATCAGACCTGCTAACAGGCCGGAGGGTCATGTGACCTGTAGGCTCCGTCCTGATGAGGGAGCCATCTTTATAGAATAAAGCAGCTGTGGGGCTGGAGGGGGGGGGGCGTGCTGTACAGCTCAGATTGAGGGCCCCCCCCTCCATCACAGGGAGGACAGGACTCTGCAGGATCACTGGTCCACCTCAACACAGAGACAGACTACAGCACTTCATCCATTTCCACACAGCTCCATCAGCACTAACTCCACAGTCTGATCTTACCAGAGACAGTGAGGGGGGTGCTGGGACCGGCCGCCCCCCCGCCGGACTCACACCAGTATTCACCACTGTCACTTTCAAAGACAAAACTCATCCTACAGACAGAACCGGTCAGGTTCCCCCAGTCTGGTCCACACTGGGTCCTGGTTCCTCTGCTGGTGTTCCTCCTCACAGTCCATCCAGCAGAGCTGCCGTCCTCCTCACAGCTCAGAGACACAGAGGCTCCTCTGAAGAACTGAGAGCTGCTGGGACTCACAGTCAGAGCCGCTGAGAGGGAGGAAACAGGAGTCAGTTTCAGCCCTGATGCTGCTGGATAACATCTGTCCAGCTAAAGCTGCTCATGCTGGGAAAAGGGGACCAACCTTGGTGTGCTGAGCCGCTCAGCAGTGAGGTCACAACTGGAGAGGAAACACACTCAGGTCGGTTTGAGCTGGACTGGAGAACTCAACAGCATAAAGCAACAAGCTGAGGAAAGCAGAGCTCAGAACAGAGCAGGAACCCAAAGATCTGGTCTGAGAGCCCTGATGGAAAGTCCCAAAGCAGAGCCTTCCCTCTGTAACAGTCAGGAAGCAGACACATGGGAGCCGTCTGAGTCCGGACAGACAGGACTAGACGGCTTCTGCTTTAGTCTGGACCAAAGCGAAGGGCTCTCACTGTGTCTTCTGAGCAGGCTGCTGCACATCTGGAGCCTTTCAGCCTGTTTCTGTGTCTGTTTGTGGCCTTTCTCTGTGCCGGCTTCCTGGTTGAAGCCCCTAAAGCTCCTCCTGAAGCAGCTCATCAGGCTGCATTTTCCACCTGACTTCAGCCTGACCTGTTTCAGTGTGTCCCCCCATCAGAAGTCGTCCACAGAGCAGAAACAGAGAAAACAGAGAAAAGCGTCTCTACTTACGGAGCAGGTACTGAGCACATGCCTCCATCTTTGCGTCTGTCTGTCTCTTGGCTAGTTTGAGGTTTTTACCCCAGATGAAGCCCACCCCCTTCCTGTGTGAATGTCTGTGGTTGCTTTTCTCTTTACTGAAGCAAGTTAATGTTAAACTTTATTTAAAGGTACAGGCCATGAACCAATACTCTCAAAAGAATTCATTCAAAACCATAAAATCGCTATGTTTAATGTTCCGTTGTGTTTATGTGCAATAAGAGAGAAGCTTAAATCTAGTTATCTACCCTAACCCTAACCCTATAATGTATTTAATATATATCCTATATGAAAAATATAAAAGCTAATGTGCATCTTGTTATAAAACAGTAAATAATGAGATTATCACCAGTCCGGCGTCCGTCAGTTTGAATTAAATTCAGTTGAAATATTTTATTTTAATTTAATTTAACAATGTACACATTTTCTTTTTGGTGGGTGTTTTATTCTTTATCTATTTATTCACATATTTAATTTTGGTTTTAAAAAGTGGTATGTTGTTGATTTTTAAAATTCCATAAAACCAGGCAGCACAGTGGTGGTCAGCACTGTTGCTTCACAGCAGAGGGTTTCGGTTCAAATCCCTGGTTGCGTGTCTCTGTGTGTGCGATGGACTGGGGGCTGCTCAGGTTCAGGCTCCAGCCTCAATAACGTCCTTTTCATTCTCAGATTAAATAGTAAAATTATCCTATTTGTTTCTGAATGTCTTCATGGCTTTGTCTGATCTGCTTTAGCTTTACAGCCCTTTACGGGTCAGGAACTGTTAGTTATCCCTAAAGCAGAGTTTTGTTATTTGTTGCTTCCCCAGAAGCAACTAGTAGTAGTAGTTACTATCACTATCACTACTCCCTGGTTCTAAAGTTTAACAGTGTAGTTCTGTCTGTTTGGCCAAATGTTTTTATATGCTTTGTGAAAAAAAATGTATTGATAAACATTATCCACATTTCTCAACACACTAATAATGTTACTGAACTAAAACTGTCTAAAATTCAGTTTTAAATACGTCACAGTGAAATATCGCGTTGTTCAAATCCAGGAAGTCTCACTGTTGACTGCGCATGCGTATGCCTGTGCGCATGCGCATTCAGTGCCATTTCCTCAGGGTGGTTCTCGTCTCCATTTCTCTCCTCGTCGACTGAGAAAATCTCTCGATAGTTCAGCTTCAACCCAGAGTTTATTTGACCTAATTGGGCTGTAACAGGCGGATCGGGACCGGTTGGGAACAGAAATGTCAGCTTTAAGGTTCCTGTTTCTGACTCTTTTGCTGGCTGTGGACTCCGTTGTCTCTGTTCTGGGTGAGTTGACGTCATGAGGCGGAAACTAAACTAAACTGTATCAACTAAACTGGAACTTTCCGGTTAGTTTCCATGCGGAGTCAAACTTTGGAGTTTAGTAAATATTGGTGACAAACAGGACTGGAAGACCTCGTTGTGTTTAGTTTTTTATAATTTCTTAATTTCAGTAGCTGAAGCTTCTCAGGGAGGAGCGATTAACCCTTTAATCCTCCTTCTGATACTTAACTTCTGTCTTAACTTATTTCCACTGATAGAGCTTTTTATTTGGTTGTGTTAGTAACCAGATAGGGTTAAGCCAAGGACCCCAAACTGAAGGAGAGATGGAGCGGGGACCCCCTAATTATATATCCTGTATGAAATAGTGTTGTATCAAACTGGTCCTATAGTGTATAAATGTCCCTTGTTATTGGGCATTCAGTACTAAGATCCTCAGATAATCCACAGGTTGATATCTTCCTGTTTTTAATGTAAACATCTAGTTCTGGTTCCTGGTTGGTGGGACAGGTGTTGTGAATGAAATGGGGCCCAGCTTGATAGAGCTCCTGATAGATAGATAGATAGATAGATAGATAGATAGATAGATAGATAGATAGATAGATAGATAGATAGATAGAGCTCCTGTGTGTGGCTGAATGTGAGCGTTGATGACTGGAGGACATCTTCTGCCTCCATTTATCTGTTTCCTACAGTCTGTTGAATTCATGTTCATGTGGATTTAAAGACATTTACATTAGTGGGAAAAATTGCAGTGGGGGAATATTAGAAAAAAAAAGTCTAATCAACCAAAACCTTGGCGAGCCCCATGCAGTACCTCCAGGACCCCCTAGGGGAGTAACCAGATAGCATCTAAACATTTCTACAGAACCCTCCGATCATTTTTCCCCCTCCACACCAGAAAGGTTTTATCTTCTCTTCTGGAGGAGTTTACAGCTTTGTGGTGTTCATTTGATACTCTGATAAAACTGATGCTGAAAGTTGAAGGTTTTAGAGACTCAGAAGAGAGAGTCTTGCTCAGAAGAACCTCTGAGGTCCAGATCAGATCGGGGGGGCAGAGCTCCACTCTGAGCTCTTTAACCTCTCTGCTCTGTGTTGTTTCCTCTCTTTAGGACAGACAATCTACATCACAGCTGAAGCTGGACAGGACTCAGTCACTCTGCCATGTAGAGCTGAAAAGGAGAGAGAGATCCTAGCTGTGGAGTGGAGCAGACCTGATCTGGGTCCAGATTATGTTCTTCTGTTCAGAGATGGTCACTTTGAGTCAGACGGTCAGCATCCATCCTTCAGGAACCGGGTGGATCTGCAGGACAGATGGATGAAGGATGGAGACGCGTCTCTGATTCTGAAGGATGTGAAGATAAAAGATACAGGAACATATGAGTGTAGAGTCTATCAGGGAGGAGGCCTGGAGTTTATGTCCTTCATCCATCTGGAAGTTTCTTCCCCTCCAGGTGAGTGTGTGTGTGTGTGAGAGCTGTAGCAGCTTAAGAGACAGAAGATTCTTCTCTGAAGGCCACGTCTGGTGGAGCAGTTGTTGTGTTTAAAGCTGAGAAAAGAGTCTTAAATGTTCCTGTGAGTCCAGTAAAGTCCTCAGATGCTAAATGAGGCTGGAGGGACTCTGACCTGAACCAGAAGCCAAACAGAAACATTCCCCCTCCAGTTCCAGTCTGAAACGGGGTGTGCTTAACTGTATTCATTTTATTTTGTTATTTTTATTTATTTATTTTTTGGGCTCTAGTGGCCTTTTAATGACAGAAGCTTGACAGGAAAGGGGGCAGAGATAGAGAGGAGAGACCTGCGGGAAAGGGCCATGGGGTGGAATCGAACCCAGGACACCCGCTTGCGAGCAGAGGCATATGGGCCGCCCGCTGTACCCGTTAGGCTACAGCTGCGGCCCGACTGTATTAATTTCTAACAGTTTGAATCTGTTTTGTTAGAAAGTGAGTTATATGAGAAGAGTGCAGATGAAGCTGTTTTCTATCGACTCTGTTTTCCATCGACGATTTACTGTGTTGTTCATTTAGAGAAAAAAAGAAACCTGAAACTCTCTGCAGGTTCAAAGGAGGATTGTTGAACATTTCCCTTCTTTTAGAGAGTAGATTTGAACATCCCAGCAGGGGCTCCCAGTGGAGCTGCTGGTCCTGCTGGGATTGGTGGACGCTCTGGTGTCGGTGTGCATGTGGTCTCTGTGTCTGTGGCTCCTCTCCCAGAAGCCTTCAGGCTGGCTGGGCTGGACTCTCCTCCAGGAGGGAGTGTGTCTGTGTGGCCAGAGTCTGGAACACGTCTAGAAGGTTCTCACTTTATCTATCTGCTCTGTGTTGTTTCCTCTCTGCAGGACAGAGAATCACAGCTGAAGCTGGACAGGACTCAGTCACTCTGCCATGTGGAACTGGAAAGGATAAAATCCACATTTCATTACTGGACTGGATCAAACCTGGTCTAAACCCAGATACAGTTTTTTACTACAGAGATGGTCGCTTTGAGTCAGACCTCCAGCATCCATCCTTCAGGAACCGGGTGGATCTGCAGGACAGACAGATGAGGGATGGAGACGTGTCTCTGATTCTGAAGGATGTGAAGATAAAAGATACAGGAACATATG